GAATAGATTAGAAACTAAGTGTAAAATTATTCATTCATTTTATAAAGTGGACAAAGTATTATCTCAATATAATATAGTGAACAATTATTGTTAGAAAGATGGAATATTAATATTCCCTCTTATCACAATAGATCATTGAAAATGATGTATAGAATTGTAAATGAATTCACATTTCCTTTTACTTGAAAGATGTGATGAAGAATTCAGTTAATGTTTTTAAGAATCTCAAAAGAGCTCTTATGTTAGATTGTGGATGGCAAATGAGCATATTGAGTTAATAAATTTGTGTGAGCTGAAATGAGTCACTTTAATTATTGGATCAAGATGCAACCTGCCCAAAGTTTGGTTGGGTTAAGATGGGGCAAACAACTAATCATAACCCAACCTTAACTTCCAAGAACAAATGTAATTAAGAAGGTAAATCAACACATAATTAAGATTAGCTTTTGATGTAAGCTAATCTTCCAGTTTGCTTTGAGATCCAATTCCATTAGCTAGACCACAAAATAGGGGTGTAAATTGATCTTTAGTGGAAGTGAAAGAATCCAATTCCACCATATTATTTATGTATGGTGTAAATTAATAATTGAAGATTTCTATAATTTGACCAGACATATATATAAATCTCCCAATGATATCATCATACTTTATATACCGAAATATATCTAATATAAGATTATATTTTAAAACAAAGCGTATTAAACTATTACTTTAATAAAGTAATGTGCGGTTTTACCTAAGGGCAGAAAAGAGAAAACTAGAAAGGCAAGAAATATTAGGAAAAAAAAGACATTTTTATGTATAGTTCAAACTTCCATAGAGGATTAGAAGTTGGGTACTAGTAATTTTGATTCAAATTATTATAAGAATTAAAAACTTAATTATATAAAATATTAAATTTTAAATCCACTAAATTTTGGTGCTAAATTGCTTGTTAAATGAGTACAAAATAATGAATGAAAGCAACGATCAATGGAATAATGAGTAGATCACTATGAAGATCTATTTCTGAATATTATTTCTGCTATGTGTGGGGATATGTAACTGTTATAACGGATCCCATATGTAACTGTCAAATTCAAATTTTGAACCCATACAATTTTAGGATTTTTTTTTTTTTTTTTTTTTGGTTATGTGTGGGGATATGTAACTGTTATAACGGATCCCATATGTAACTGTCAAATTCAAATTTTGAACCCATACAATTTTAGGATTTTTTTTTTTTTTTTTTTTGGTTTATCAGTGTTCTGTGTATTTACATTGTAGTTCGATTAAATTTGGATTCACATCGAAAAGTCACCCATACAGTTTTAGGAATTTTTTCCTTTTTGGTTTCCTACCTGATTTTGGCTACCCCATTGGAGTCTGACTAAATCAAGATTCAACCTAGAAAATCCACATTGGGGGTAAAACACATCCTACAAAGGCGATTTTATATCTAGGGAACTCGAATCTGAAACCTTTGATTAAAATGAAGGAGTATTTATTACTCCACCTATCTTTACGTTTTCTTTTAGTTGTAAAACTAATTTTATGAGAAAAAAAAACCTTTATTATTGGAGTAGTTATTTCTTTTTAAAAATTTATATTATAAAAACTGATATAATTTCTTGGAAATTTCGTCACAAATGCGTAGATTATTCCGTAAGGTCCGTTTGAAAGTATATTCTAAAAATCTGCTTACACACGCAGTAGACACGACGTTGTTCGGAAATTGGGCGCCTTATATTATATTCTATTACTTCATGTCCCTAATTACTTGTTCACTTTTGAATTTACACAAAATAATAATTGGCATAGTAAATTTATTATTTTACTCATATTAATTATGAAGTGGATAAATTTAAAATTTAATATTTTCAAAAAAAATTATATTTTTCAAAGTAATTAATTGAGAATATAAAAGGTAAAAAAAAATTGTCTGAACAAATAATTAGAAACAGAAAAATATATGGTATGAAAGAGGGATAAATTCTATTCCGTTCGGATAACGCGTCTACTATTTTTATTGCTACTAAATACTAGAGCGCTCTCGCTTTTTCTGGAAAATTAAATCACGTCAACAAAAAGTTTAATTTCCACCAAATATTTGTACCTATCCAAAGGAACGGTCATAAAGAAGAGCATATTTATCGTTCTTTCTGTTTCAATTTATATGATCAATTTAATTAAATGAAGATAAGAAATATATAAATATATTTGTAATATTTTAAAAATATTAATAATATCATTAAATATATATCCACTAAGAAAATATATCATTTTTTTAATATTAGCTTTAATTTGTAAAAATATTTATTTAAACTATTTTTATAAATGTTACACATATCAAATCCTTTTAATACTTAAAAACGTCGATGAAGCCTCGTCTTTCCATTGAGCCTCAAAGACAATTGAAATCATAGTCAATGGCTATTACTCCTATTTGATTGAGCTAAGAGACAAAATGAAAGAGTAGTAACATTTTAAATTTTTGGCACTACTTTTTAATTGAAATGATTTAACAACTACATCTGGCCAAAAAAAAAATAATTTTAACAATTAAACTGCACGTTTATTTTTACTTGTTCATTATTTTTAAATTTTTTTTTTTATTTATCATTATTAACATATTAAAATAGATAATTTATTTTTTCCAAGTTTTATTCTTAGTATACTTTATGATATTAAATATCAACTAATAGAGATAGTGTGAAAAAAAATATATTATATAGTCATTGCTTACTTAGGAATTAATTACGTAATTTATTAATTAGGGGTAAGGAATCCTTATCGTTGCTGAAGTCGGTTTATTCGAACCTTCCTCTTTATTTCCTTTTTCTCTTTATACTTCACCTATAAATTCGTTCCCCCATAAACAGAACCCAACAAATAATCGGAGTTAGTTTCAAACAAACTATTTTTCATTCTCCAAATTTTTTTCTGAATCTGTTAGCTACCTGTTTCTTCAACAATCCAATATCAACAATGGAGTTACGTCCTTTAGACATCAAAGTGATCTCTGCAGACGGCATAAAGAATGTCAATACTTTCTCTAAGATGGATGTTTATACAGAAGTCTACATTTCCAGTTACGCCAGCAAGGCTTCTAAGCAGAAAACTTTTGTTGATAAGAATAGCGGCACGAATCCTAAGTGGAATCACTCCATGAAATTCACTCTCGATGAATCGTCTCTCACAAAATCAGGGATTTACCTTATCTTTCGTCTCAAATCTGATCGCACTTTGGGTGACAAAGATATTGGTGAGGTATCTGTTCCTATTCATGATTTGTTCAATTCTAATGGCACAGTGGAGAGGCTTGTTGAGTATCCAGTGATTACAGAGAGCGGAAAACCTAAAGGTACTCTGAAATTTTCCTATAAATTTGGGGAAAAATTTACAGCGCCTGAGCAGAAGAGAGATGTAAATCATGAACCTGTTACCGCTTATCCTGCTCAAATGCATCCTGGTATGGCTTATAATCAGCAAAATTCGGGATACGGATATCCACCTCCGGCTCATCAAGGTGGGTACGCATACCCATCCCAAGCTGGTGCACCGGGTTATGGATATCCGCCACCACAACCTGGGTACGGGTATCCGCCACCACAACCTGGGTACGGATATCCACCGGTGCAACCGCCACCGCCAAAGAGGAAGAACAAGATGGGAGGTGGATTAGGGTTAGGGTTGGGTGCAGGATTGCTTGGTGGTTTGTTGGTGGGAGATATGATATCTGACGTCGGAGAGATGTCTTCTTATGGTGATGGGTATGGAGATGCTATGGATGATATGGGTGGTGGCTTTGATTTTTAGTTTAATTTTCCAAATTTGTAAATTTTCTTTGTTTTTTTTTTTAAAATCTTTTGAGATGTAATAAACTTTGGTACTAAGGTAGATTTTGAAGGATGTTTATTTTTTATTTAGTTATTCAGATCAACCTTACACTACTACTTCCTTTTTTCTTTAAAATAGTTTGTAATACTTTTTGAGGGCTCGTTTGGTACTAGTAATAATAAAGAATAATTACAAGATTTTTTATTTTTATGCTTTAGTTAAAGGTGTTAATTAATTCTACAATCATTCCATCATGTCTTATAATAATGGTATTGTGGAATGTCTTAAATCATGGAATAACTTTTGATATAGAAACAAATTTCTTGGGAGATATGTTTTCTCTTAATAGAGAATTTATTGAAAATATTCTTTTATCTACCGGATAGGGATAAGTCCTGCGTGCTGAGGAGTTAATCATTGGTGCAGATGTCCTCATTTATTGAGGCTTCCATTCAAAGCTTATAACATTGTATCATCGGAACTTCCATTCAAAGCTTACAACACTTCTCATTTTGATCTTTCAGCACCAGGTAAGTGTTGGATTTTATCTTTCTAAATTTGACTTGTAGAATTATATTGACAATGATGTTGTAGATCTTGTATCGTGGAGTGTCATTGTACCTCGGATTTTTATTTTGTTTAGCAGAATATGCTTTATGTTCCTAAGGAACAATTTTTCATATATGAGTTTCCATGTACCAACTATTTTGGTCTTACTATTATTATATTTGGTGAAGTAGGAATATTTCTTTTGGGGGGGGATTGAACAGTTGTGTAACAGCATAGCAAAAAGAGAAACGAGTTAATCATTAGTGCAGATGTCGTCATTTATTGAGGCTTCCATTCAAAGCTTATAACATTGTATCATCGGAACTTCCATTCAAAGCTTACAACACTTCTCATTTTGATCTTTCAGCACCAGGTAAGTGTTGGATTTTATCTTTCTAAATTTGACTTGTAGAATTATATTGACAATGATGTTGTAGATCTTGTATCGTGGAGTGTCATTGTACCTCGGATTTTTATTTTGTTTAGCAGAATATGCTTTATGTTCCTAAGGAACAATTTTTCATATATGAGTTTCCATGTACCAACTATTTTGGTCTTACTATTATTATATTTGGTGAAGTAGGAATATTTCTTTTGGGGGGGGATTGAACAGTTGTGTAACAGCATAGCAAAAAGAGAAACGGTGAACATTCATAGTATTATTTTCCAGAGCATAATCAATCAAAAGAGGCATTTGCAGTACACCTCACTGTGAATTATACAAGATCAAATGATTTTAAATACAATCAACATGCCATTTAGAGCTTAACTTCAAGACCCCATTGCTGGTAGCAGCACAGCTTACACCACTTGATCACATCACTCTCCGCCAACGTAAAATGTAACTCCTTCCCTCCTTGTCAAACTTGTGCTATATTTGAGTGAATGCGAATGTGAAATAGCACAAATACAGAGATGCTTACACATGTTTGCCTCAATTTAACGTTTGACCGTACAAATAGGTTATTTCCACTCATGTTTAATTGCATACACCAGAGAATTCAGTACAGATTTGCTGCTATTATCTAAAACTACATCAAGATATTCAAATTTATTCCACTGATATTGATTCTTCTTATAAATTCAACAAGAACTCAATGACCCACGAAACATAACATTGAGATCAACACAAAATGGGCCTTTTTCCACTCAAATACATACACACACACTTGACACGTATACCCTGTATCATTCAGTAATACGGTTAAGCATATAAAAACAGCTTAAGCAATCAAAACAAGGAACAAAATTATTCAGATCACTAACCTTCATCTTGTGCAAGATTTCATTCTCCTGTCATGACTAATCTTTCACTTTAAATGAAAGATGGGTGCTTATGTAATTGTGAAGGATGATATATAAATCAAGATATGATAAAAATATGGGAACGCTGAAGGGTTGGTGATGAGATAGGATAGGACTACACTAATTCAAATTGAACTTGGATAAAACTATACACTGGATAGCACAGAAGATGTGCTGCAATTTGTTCTTGAAAATAATAATAGAAGTTATGAGTTATGACTTTCTTCTCCACCCAAACTCACAGGATCAAACTTGGTCACCACGTAAACCCCCCCAAAAAAGGATTTTCGAATGGAACTTTGATGTATAATTCATACAGATGGTGCCTTAAATGAGATAGCAGAGGATAAAGATCAAAGCATTCCACGATGAAATCACAAGTAAATTGGACATCATTCATTAGACAAAGATAAACACAAAAAACAGTCATACTATATACCTGTATAGAAAAAGGAAATAAGTCAATAACTCCTAGGAGATCCTCTTCTTGTTCTGCATTCTTTGAGTGCCTTGAGGCATTCAACTAAATCTGCCGTTCCAGATTGTAAAGATGAAGCTATTATATGTAATTTCTTAGAATAATCTATTGGTTTTTTGGTCTATCCTAAATGTTAGAATTGCCTGTAAGTTTCCAATATTAACTTCAATAATAGAGTGCTAACTAAGCTTACTCTTAGAGTGAAAGGACCGCAGGCAAATTTTGAGTAAAACTCTGGAGAAAAAACTAAGATAATATGCATGAGTGTACATATAATAGGATTACAGTAAGTTAAATAAATTTATCTCAACGAAAAACATATCGAGAGATTCTTTTAAAATAGTCGCAAGGACACAATTCTTTCTGTAGTCATCTGAATGTCAATTAACTTCGACAAGTGCTTCGTTCATTTTTTCACTGTATTCTGATACAAAGTTGATATTGTTGACAGAACTCGACATCATGGATGTGAACAACTACATTAAGAACAATTTGACAATTTTCACACAATAGTACTCATGAGTTTTATGACCATCGAGTGTATCTTTTTTTGTTTTTTTAGTATATGATCTGTCCGACAGTATAGCTCACAAGCAAAAAGATCAAATAAAGGGATGACTTAGAGGTAATATGGTTGAGAGATAAACTTGAAATCACGCAGGCCACCATTTTCCTTTTTGCCAACATAAATACCTCCATATATATAAGAAGATCAATGATATTAGAGATTATTTGGAAGTACAACATGGCAATGACGTAGAACAGAATCGAATAAACAACCCAAGGAAAAGAAATATCCAAAATGTAACATGGGATGACATGCCAAATTGATTAGATACAATTGTAAAAGTTCAGGTGATCTAAAGAAGAAGCAACTAAACTACACTTACTTGAAAGTTGTAAATCATACATTGCGGAATTTATGGCAGCGCGAATATTGTCCTGAATCAGACTTGCGTTTTATGCCCGAAAAATGTCCAACCTTCTTATCACCAAGCATGCCCTTGTCAGCTGTAGCAAGCCCTGGTTGAATATGTCCACTTAGAACAAGATGTGGAGTTTTAAGTTGCGCCTGAGATTTTGTCATCCTCTCCACAGATAGTAATGGATTTTTCATCTTCAGTTCCTTCTGGTGTTGCCGTATACGTTTCTGTTGCTTCTTCTTTTCTGGCCCCTTCCCATGAAATTGATGTGAAAATAACCGAAAAGACTCCTTTGGAGTTAGATTTCGCCCAAATTCATCAGTCCTGTTAATGTGTATCTCTTTTCCCACTTTCTCATCACCACAACGAACGCTAACGAGCTTGTTTTTCTTCTTATCGGTGTTTCGACCAGCCAATTCAATATCTCCCTCCTTAAGTGAACCTCTTTCTCTCAAAAATCTGAGTGCCTCTGACAAACCCTTCCCTATTGGAACTTCACGTATCGTCTTATCTGGTTTAATTTCAAATTTCTCCTCTTTTACAGAAAGTTCCTCTTTCTGTTTTGGTAGCACATCAACACTAGGTTCTAATTTATCAAACTGAAGACCCCAGACAAAATCTCCCATCTCTGTGAAGACAACTTGTGATTCATCAGATACAGAAATTGGATTATCATTATCAAGGGTTGAATCACTAATTAGGGAAGCAATTACCTCTGGAAAAGTTTTGGCAACGCCCTTTTGCTTTTCCGATGAAAGTTTTCTGACTCTTTCGTATGATTTTCTGAATTCTTCGTTATCATCATCATCAAATAATACTGCATCAATTCCGTCCATCTTTTCTTTCCCCATCACAAAAACGTTGCGAGTCTGGGTTTTGTTATTTGGGTCAAAAGAGACGGAAAAGATGTATTTATATTTTTTTTTATAGAGAGGCTACTCAAGTAGCTAGCGCGGTATAACTTACATAAACCTCTGTAAAACTTAAATTATATTTTATTTCTATTTTACAAAAATTCCTTAAAATAAAAGTCATCCGGATACATAAGTTTCATGTAATGACCCTAAAGGTCATTTTTGGAAATTTTCATAAAATGACCGTTTTACCTCTCCCGATAGTTGCCCCGAGTCCTAATTGTTGTATTTTCGAAGTTGGTTTGGAGGAAAATTGATGAAAAGTTGAGTTTTTGGAAAGTTGAGTTTTTAAGAGTTAAAGTTTGGTTAAAAGTGTTATTTCGAGTCATTTGGAGTTTCGAGACTCGAATCGGATTTCCGTCGATTCCAGCAATTTTAGAATGTCGAAACGGGTCTATGAGAATTTACGGAGTCGAATTTGGAGTTAAAACGAAGATTTGAGGTCCTAAGTCGCTAAAATTGTGAAAGTTTGATCAAGAGTTGACTTTGGTCAACAAAC